TTTCCCTGGTTATCTTCCCCGTTCACCCTCAGCTGCTCAGGAATGTCAGCATGGCTGTGATCATAGCTACCAAACTCTTTTCCAACCTACAACTCTGGCCAGTTTTCCTTGATCTAGATGTGAACATCCGACCCAAGCTAAGCAAAAACAACCTTTCATTCATCTTTGGACTTAGGAGAGAAATCTGAACTCTCTCATTGCAGTTGTTAGATTTCATAATCATGTGTGGCTTTTTTGTGGCATATTCTCCAAAAAAGCAAGGCAGTGGTGAGAAAATGAAATAATATCCTAAACACTGTAATAATAATGGAGAGTTCACTTCAGTTCAGTCACTCAGTTGTGTCCAACTCTTTGCAACCCCATGAATCACAGCACGTCAGGCCTCCCTGTCCATCACCAACTCCCGGAGTTTATTCAAACTCATGCCCATCAAGTTGGTGATGCCATCCAGCCAACTCATCCTCTGTCGTCCCCTTCTCCTCCTGCCCCCAATCCATCCCAGCATCAGGGTCTTTTCTAGTGAGTCAACTCTTCGCATGAGGTGGCCAAAGTATAGGAGTTTCAGCTTCAACATCAGTCCTTCCAATGAACACCAGGACTGATCTCCTTTAGGATGAACTGGTTGGATATCCTTGTAGTCCAAGGGACTCTCAAGAGTCTTCTCCAACACCACAGTTCAAAAGCATCAATTTTTTGGTGCTCATCTTTCTTCACAGTCCAACTCTCACATCCACACATGACCACTGGAAAAACCACAGCCTTGACTGGGCAGTTCCTCTTTCGGTATCCTATCATTTTGCCTTTTCATACTGGGAACTCCCCAAGTCAGCAGTTGCCCAATATGCTACTGGAGATCAGTGGAGAAATAACTCCAGAAAGAATGAAGAGATGGAGCCAAAGTAAAAACAATACCCAGTAGTAGATGTGACGTGATTGAAGCAAGCTCCGATGCTATAAAGAGCAATATTGCATAGGGACCTGGAATGTTAGGTCCATGAATCAAGGCAAATTGGAACTGGTCAAACAGGATATGACAAGAGTGAATGTAGACATTCTAGGCATCAGCGAACTCAAATGGACTGGAATGGGTGAATTTAACTCAGATGACCATTATATCTACTACTGTGGGCAGGAATCCCTTAGAAGAAATGAAATAGCCATCATGGTCAACAAGAGTCCGAAATGCAGTACTTGGATGCAATCTCAAAAACAACAGAATGATCTCTGTTCATTTCCAAGGCAAACTATTCAATCTCACGCTGATCCAAGCCTATGCCCCAACCAGTAACACTGAAGAAGCTGAAGTTGAATGGTTCTATGAAGACCTACAAGACCTTTTAGAACTAACACCCAAAAAAGATGTCCTTTTCATTATAGGGGACTGGAATGCAAAATAATGGATAACACTTACAGAAAGGCAGTGCTGTGTGCCCACCACAGTTTTAAACATTTGTTGCATGTTGACTCTCTTAATGTTTAAAGGAAACCTATGAAGTAGGAGCTACTATGATCATTTTCATTTTATTTATGGGGAAACTGAAGGACAGAGAAGTTGGATTTCTCACTTACATAAAGCATGTAAGACATGGAAATAAGATTGGAATGCAAGTCTGTTAGTGTTAGTATCTATGCTTCTAACCACGGAACTTTACTGCCTCATGTAACAGGGAGGAAAAATCCTACTGAAGTTGAATTAATCCGAGTTTCTGCTCCCAGTTGCAGTCCTACCCTTGACTTTCTTTGGCTGATTGCTTAGGGCTCAGAATATACACCCAATAAAGGTCTAGGTTTAGGCAACAGGGTATTAAACAAATGACTATTGTTTCGGTCTTTAGCAAGATCCTATTTGGGAGACAAGCCCAAACTGGACCTTCTGATCATTCATGCCAGACTTCATTTCACGTCTGTCAGCCCAAGCATGCTGAATAGGAATAATGTATACATTCTAAGAATAGATGCATGGGTGCAGAAAGCTTAGAGATCAGGGTATTAATTAAAAAGAGAGAAATGAACAAGACTAAGTCCCTTCAATCCTGTTCAGACACCTCCACTCTCATACCTTCTTGCCTATATGGGTGATAGCTCCCTAAATAAAGCATGGTCACCTGGAATGTCTCCCAAGAGCATTCTCCTGAGCTTATAAGACAGCCCTCTCTGCCCTAGCCCAGTTTCTCACCCAAGTCTTGAGATAAGAGCTTCAATAATTCCTAGGAGAATGCAGATCCCTAGGTTTTATGACAAGAGAGAAGCATTGTTAAGGCAAGACGCTGAGAAAATTAAAGGGCAGTTATGAAACTTTTATGAAAGAAAACAAAAAGTTATGAACAAGTGACTAGGGGGTTAAGATAGTTCTTTAGCTAGAAAGGCTCCAAGCCTACAGACATGCAATTATTGAATCTAGTTTCAAACTCTTCTTTCACACCTACTGATACCTAAATTACTCATATCATGGCACCTGAGAACTATAAAGGTTTTCATCAAAGAAGCTGTTTCACTGACTGCCTTGAGGGAAGCTTTGAAGGACAGTGAATAAATCATCTCTAAGGGATGTGAATCAGGGGCTGCCAGAGTGATCAGCCAAGAACTCACATTCTTACTTTGCAAGTTAATAAATAATGCCCCTGGTGTTTTCATATCTAATATTTGCCTTAGTATCTATCTCTCAGTTCAGTTCAGTTCAGTTTAGTTCAGTCACTCAGTCATGTCCGACTCTTTGCGACCCCATGAATCGCAGCACTCCAGGCCTCCCTGTCCACCACCAACTCCCGGAGTTTACTCAAACTCATGCCCATCGAGTCGGGGATGCCATCCAGCCATCTCATCCTCTGTCACCCCCTTCTCCTCCTGCCTCCAATCCCTCCAAGCATCAGGGTCTTTTCCAATGAGTCAACTCTTTGCATGAGGTGGCCAAAGTATTGGAGTTTCAGCTTCAGCATCAGTCCTTCCAATGAACACCCAGGACTGATCTCCTTTAGGATGGACTGGTTGGATCTCCTTGCAGTCCATGGGACTCTCAAGAGTCTTCTCCAACACCACACTTTAAAAGTATCAATTCTTCAGCGCTCAGCTTTCTTTATAGTCAAACTCTGACATCCATACATGACTACTTGAAAAAACCATAGCCGTGACTAGACGGACCTTTGTTGACAAAGTAATGTCTCTGCTTTTCAATATTCTGTCTAGGTTGGTCATAACTTTCCTTCCAAGGAGTAAGCATCTTTTAATTTCATGGCTNTAGCCTGGCTTGGAGAATTTTGAGCATTACTTTACTAGCGTGTGAGACAAGTGCAATTGTGTGGTAGTTTGAGCATTCTTTGGCATTGCCTTTCTTTGGGATTGGAATGAAACCTGACCTTTTCCAGTCCTGTGGCCACTGCTGAGTTTTCCAAGTTTGCTGGCATATTGAGTGCAGCACTTTCACTTCATCATCTTTCAGGATTTGAAATAGCTGAACTGAAATTCCATCATATTCACTAGCTTTGTTCGTAGTGATGCTTTCTAAGGCCCACATGACTTCACATTCCAGGATGTCTGGCTCTAGGTGTGTGATCACACCATCGTGATTATCTGGGTCATTAAGATCTTTTTTGTACAGTTCTTCTGTGTATTCTTGCCACCTCTTCTTAATATCTCCTGCTTCTATTAGGTCCAAACCATTTCTGTCCTTTTTCCAGCCCATCTTTGCATGAAATATTCCCTTGGCATCTCTAATTTTCTTGAAGAGATCTCTAGTCTTTCCCATTCTGTTGTTTTCCTCTATTTCTTTGCATTGATCGCTAAGGAATACTTTCTTATCTCTCCTGGCTATTCTTTGGAACTCTGCATTCAAATGGGAATATCTTTCCTTTTCTCCTTTGCTTCTCATTTCTCTTCTTTTCACAGCTATTTGTAAGGCCTCCTCAGACAACCATTTTGCCTTTTTGCATTTCTTTTCATGGGGAATGGTCTTGATCCCTGTCTCCTATACAACGTCATGAACCTCCGTCCATAGTTCATCAGGCACTCTGTCTATCAGATCTAGCAGAAGCCAAATATCAAGCCAAATATCATCCTTATTAACAGGAGCAGAAGCTTTGCCATCATCATCAGCATCACTCCAAGCCCACATTAAACAGTTTCATTTTACCTTGATTGAGCTCTACACCCTATTTGGAATATGTTACCTACTCTTTTATTTTACATAAATTTCTTCTTCAAAATGCAGCTAAAATGAAAAAGTATTTGAGGCTCAGCCATGTCCAACTCTATGCGACCCCACCAGGTTCCTCTGTTCATGGAATTCTCTAGGCAAGAATACTGGAGTGGGTTACCATGCCCTCCTCCAGGGGATCTTCCCAACCCAAGTATCGAACCCAGGTCTCCTGCATTGCTTGTGGACTCTTTACCATCTGAGCCACCGGGGAAGCCCAAAAGAGCCTGTAGCCTTCCCACCAGGAACCTCAGTCTCCCAAGTGACAGGCAGGGCTACTCACCACGATAGTAACAAGGATGGCAAGCCTCATCTGAATCTCATCTCTCATCATTCATCATGACCTCACATGGTCTTTGTCATCTTTTTTTGGTCATCTATTTGTCTTTGTCATCACTTATCTCTCAGCTTTTAAACATATATTGTATTATTACTTGTGCTTTTCCATCTCTTTGACTCTTGGAGGCCCAGTGTTATACTGGTATCACCCGTGTCTAGCAATACCTGGTATTAATTGATACTCCAGAAATTCTTAATAACTAATTATGAGCTGATCGTTCTCTTAGTTTATTCACTTTTTTATCATCACTTCATTGCGTTTTCACCTAAAGCTTCTCTTCAAATGGCTTCTCCCCAGTAGACCATCCTTGCTGATGCCCCCCTGAATCATTCTCATATTCCTTGCTGTCCTACAATTTCACATATTTGCCAACCACTTACCTCTCTGGTTTCCCCATGTTGTTATGTCATTATATCATTATTTTTAATTACTCTCAGCTCATAAATAGTCCAGTTTCCCCAGGAGCAGAGTCAAAGAGCTGATATTCTTTGGCACATTATAAGACATCAAGGAAAATAGAAAACTCATCATGGACACCTTGGGAAAGGTAAGTGCTACTTTTCAAATAGGTCTATATCATCTTTATTAGTTATCCAAAAAGTGCACTTTGAAACAAAATTAAGACATTTTCTCCAAACAGGTTGTCAAAGATTTTTGTGGATAATACTCAATGTTGTCCCATCTATGAAACTCATGCACTACTCCTAGGAAAATAAATTGATAGAAACTTACTGGGTGATAGTTTGACAATGTTGTACTAAATGCCTTAAAAATGCGCTTATCATTTAACAAAGAAATTTATTCCAAGGAAATAATTATGCTTTTATTTATTTATTGAATCAGTTTCCTAGTGTTAGACATTATGTTCCTTCCAGTGTTATACTCTTATAAACAATGCTTCATTTTCTCCACATCCTCAACAGCATTTATTCTTTGTAGATTTCTTATTATGGCCATTCTGACCGGTGTGAGATGGGGTGTGAGATGAGAGGGAAGTTCAACAGGGAGGGACATATGTACACTTGTGGCTGATTCATGTTGATGTTTGACAGAAGCCAGAACAATGTTGTAAAGCAATTATTCTCCAATAAAATTTTTTTAAAAAATGCTTTAGTTAATCTGTTTATGAAATCTTAAAAATGCTGATAGCTGGGTACTGGGCTTGAAGTTTTCCCTCCTTTACACTTATCTGAGTTTTCCAAGTTTTTGCCTTGAGTGTGTATCACTTCTGAAATAGGAGACGTTTTCCATAAAGTATATAATTTTACTTGCTTTTATTTGAACTTCTTTTGTGGCATTTTCCCCTTTTCTTTGTGTTACAAGACATGTATTATCTCCTTGATTGATTTCTAAGTTTCTTGAAGACATAATTTACTCAGCTCATGATGTCTTACAGTTACTAGTGCAGTAACCTTGCAAATGGAACACCGATAAAATTATGAAGGACTCTAGTACCACCAGATATTAAAAAATATCAAAAAGTTATTCACTGAGGTGTCAGTGCAAGAATAGACAGTAAGATACATTTATGTTTCCAAAAAGAAACTTGTAAATTGAAGAACTTATATAGTAAAGGTGCTAATTTAAGTATAAATGAAAGAAAAATTCATCAGGAGTTCATGCTGAGACAATTCATTTAGATTCTATAAATTTATATTACACAAAATAATTTGAGGTAGATTTAAGCATTAGATATCTAAAAATCAAACTATAAAAATCTAGAAAGAGGGTGACAAATGTTGATTTGGTCTCTATATGGAGAGAAAGTGAAGGACAGGGAAGCCTGGCGTGCTGCCGTTCATAGGGTCGCAAAGAACCGACACGACTGAGTGACTGAATGACAACAAGAATGGAGAGAATTCTCAAAGTACAGAAATGGGCCAAATAATAAAGGAAAACATAGTTTTATGAATCAAAAGTTTAATATGTATGTTATGCATGTATATATGAACATATAGCTTCATAAAAAATAAAGGTCAAAAATCAAGGAGGAAAAATCATATATGACAAGTTAGTAGACTGCCAGTCACTCCTTTTATGTGTAAAAAGATCAAATGATTAGTAAAAAAAATACCAAGATGCAAGTGGATACCTACGCAAAATATAGGACCAAACATTCCACACACACAAAAAAAATGTATGACTAACGTAAACATAAAATATTTCAACATTCTTAATATTGAAAAATACTAATAAAAAGAAATAGCTAGCTTTTTCTGACAGTCACTTTGTTTTTAATGACTACAGTCAATGCTAATGAGAGTAGGAAAAATGATGACATATATTTTGCTTTGTAGTCCTAGGAGTTGTGCCAAATCATTCAAACTTTCTGTAGAGTTATTTAGAAATCAGTTTCATTCTAACCATGTCTCTATCCTTCCCCTAGTAATTCTTACTTAAGGAAACCAGGCAAGTCAAAATTATAAACAATATACATTATAATGGTCAAAACAAAGGAAATGATTGTTTTATCAAGGTAGTTGCTGATTAAGAATATTTGGATATATTCAAATGATGAAATATAAAACAGCTATTTAAAATTATAAAGCAATTTGAAATCATGAGAAAACATTTTAGAACAAGCAAACAGTAAATGTTTAATATATGGTGGCTTTCACTGGCAAAAAAAATGAAGCCTAAAATGTGAAACTGCTTATATGACATGATCTCTACCATACAAAAATTATTTTAAGAGACTCAAAAGAAATACGCTAAAATTTTACTAGCTTATGTCTGAAATTGCAATGATCTTTTTTCTTTTTTGTGTGTGAATTTCTTACTGCTACAAATTACAGCAAGTTAGTGTCATTTGTATGATCAGAAGTTAAATGTTATCGCTAAATGATGTCATCTTATTGTCCTTGTGTCAACAGACAATCACATGCCTGGCAGCCATTGCCTGGAAAAAGAACTCTCTTTCACTTGAGAAAGTGGAGGTTGAACCACCAAAGGCTGGGGAAGTTCGTATTAAGGTAAATTTAAATCTTAGAACTTGTACTTGTGAAGACAATTGTAAGGAAATCTTATTTCATGTATCAAAGTTGTTCCCAGTGTTCCAGCACTCCCACTACTGATACTGAAACAGCTAGTCAGTATCCCTGCCTGTATGCTTTCTGGCTGAATTCCAGGCAGAGCAGTAATACAGTGACTATGCTATAGGAAATATTTCATTTCTATGATCAATATGAATGGATTGAGTCTATCCACAGACAAGAAAACTTAGGCCATTAACTGAGAAGTTTTAAAACTTCTCAATGCCAATTAAATCTTGCAGCAGTTAAACTCATTTTACATTACTAACAATGTTTTCAATATGCTAGTTTAAAATCAATTTTCCCAGAGGATTGGGAAAACATTCCACAATACTGGGCTAAAAATTTTGGTTTCTCAATGGTGGTGCTATGGATACGTGGTCAAAAATCCTTCATTGGATAGAATAGACTCTAATATTGCGAACTAGTTGATGACATAGGGTGTACAGAGTCGATTTCAAAAGACCTAATTTATTTCCAGATCTGAACGTGCACCATGAGAGTGGGTGAGTCATTTTAAGTTCAAATCTTCCCTTTCCACATCTTTGAGTGAAGTTGCTCAGTCGTTTCCGACTCTGCGACCCTGTGGACTGTAGCCTACAAGGCTCCTCCATCCATGGGATTCTCCAGGCAAGAATACTGGAGTGGGTTACCATTTCCTTCTCCAGGGGATCTTCCCGATGCAAGGATCGAACTTCCTGACCCAGGGATCAAACCTGGGTCTCCCGCATTGTAGGCAAACGCTTTAACCTCTGAGCCACCAGGGTAATTAGACCTGCCCTGTGTTTCTCTGAATATTATTACAGGGATCAAATGAGGTCATTCATGTAAAAAAATTATTCATAATAAGTCTCAGACAAAAGAAAAAGTCCAAACTAATTTATCCTTGGCCACTTAATTCCTACCCAGATGACATCTACAGGGATCTGTGGTTCTGATGATCATACTATAAAAGGAATAATCTCAGTGAAGTATCCCTTCATCCCAGGCCATGAAGGAGCTGGAATTGTGGAGAGTATTGGCGAAGGAGTGAGCTCAGTGAAACCAGGTAGGAAATGGGCCACAAAAACTTCTGCACAAACAACCCACCACCAAAATGCATTAGCATATTTACAGGAGAAATAAGTTGGTTTGCCTCTAAATTGTTTTACCTAATCACATATCATGGTAGTAAATGTATCCAGTGATTCCAAGGGTCACACAGTTTCTCCACTCTCAGCACTAGCAATCCAGAGTGGCAATGCCTGAGCCAAGTAACTAGTTGAGATAGGACCAGTGTACTTCTAAATAGATCATAATCTCCTAGGAGCAGGGGCTGCTTGTTTTATTTCCAAACAAACAATAAAACTATATTTTAAACATTAAGCTTGCTAAGTCACTAGATTTTAATTGTTACTGAAACTAAAAGAAATTATAATTACATGACACAATAGAAGTGTTAGCTAAAAAATAAAAAATTAAAAAATAAAGAAGTGTTAGCTAATATGAAAATGGCAATCATATTGCAATATAAATGTATCAAATCAATATAAACTTACACACAATTTTGTTTATCAAATATATGTCAGTAAAAACTTTTTTCTAATGAATTATTTGTCAGCAGAAAGGGAAATTTTATAATCTGGCAAGTTAATTTATTCTGACATAACTGCAGAAGAATTCACTGTTTCCTTTTTTATTGAAATACAGTTGACACACGCACAATACTATGCTACAGGTATTTCTTAGCAGTCCAGTGGTTAGGACTCCATGCTGTCCTGTCAATAGCCTGGGTTCAATGCCTGATTGGGAAATTAAGATCCTATAAGCCTATACAAATACATATCAGTATGTGTTTATCAGTTCAGTTCAATTCAGTCACTCAGTCATGTCCAATATTTTGGGACCCCATGGACTACAGCACACCAGGCTTCCCTGTCCATCTCCAACTCACAGAGCTTGCTCAAATTCAAGCCCATCAAATTCATGCCATCCAACCATCTCATCCTCTGCCATCCAAAACCATGTCATCTTCTGTTGTCCCCTTCTCCTCCTACCTTCAATCTTTCCCATCATCAGGGTCTTATCTAATGAGTCAGTTCTTTGCATCAGGTGGCAAAAGTATTGGCCACAGCTTCAGCATCAGTCTTCCAATAACTGATTTCCTTTAGGATGGACTGGTTTGATCTCCTTGCAGTCCAAGGAACTCTCAAGAGTCTTCTCCAACACCACAGTTCAAAACCATCAATTCTTCAGCACTCAACTTTCCTTATAGCCCAACTATCACATCCATACCTGACTACTGGAAAAACCATAGCTTTGACTAGATGAACGCCTGTTGACAAAGTAATGTCTCTGCTTTTTAATATTCTGTCTAGATGGGTTATAGCTTTTCTTCCAAGGAGCAAGCATCTTTTAATTTCATGGCTGCAGTCACCATCTGCAGTGATTTTGGAGCCCAAGAAAATAAAGTCTGTCACTATTTCCATTGTTTCTCCACCTATTTGCCATGAAATGATGGGACCAGATGCCATGATCTGAATTTTTGAATGCTGAGCTTTAAGCCAGCTTTTTTCATTTTTCTCTTTCTCTGTCATCAAGAGGTTCTTTAGTTCCTCTTCACTTTCTGCCGTAAGGGTGGTATCATCTGCATATCTGAGGTTATTGATATTTCTTCTGGCAATCTTGATTCCAGCTTGTGCTTCATCCAACCTGGCATTTCACATGATGTACTCTGCATTTAAATTAAATAAGCAGGGTGACAATATACAGCCTTGATGTACTTCTTTCCCGATTTGGAACCAGTCTGTTGTTCCATCTCCAGTTCTAACTGTTGCTTCCTGACCTGCATACATATTTCTCAGGAGGCAGGTAAAGTAGTCTGGTATTCCCATCTCTTTAAGAATTTCCCACAGTTTGTTGTGATCTACACAGTCAAAAGTTTTAGCATAATCAAAAAAGCAGAAGTAGATGTTTTTCTGGAATTCTCTTGCTTTTTCTATGATCCAACAAATGTTGGCATTTGATCTCTGGTTCCTCAGACTGTGTTCATTAATTCTCTTCACCTTCCCAGCCTGTAACCCTAGGTCCCAGGAGGGTTAATTATTGGACCTACACATAATCAGTATGCTCTCTAGAACTGTGCAACATAAAAAACCACCCTCTGTAGTAAGCACTCCAGGAGCAGCCCCTCTCTGCAGAAAGGAAGCTATTCCTTTTACTCTCTGAACTGAGAATATCTTGAACCACAGCCCCCTAAAAAAAACATGTCATAGACCTGCTGTGGGTCTATGTGCCATCGTGAGGCAGGTAGGCTCAATAGAAAGGTCTCTGCTGTTATCCAGCTTCAGGCAGGTAACGACCACTGTGGACTTAAATCTCTCAAAGGAAAACCAAAAGGTTAGAGTAGATGACATCTCTAAGGGTCATTCCTAGTTTTATTAGTTTATTTCCAGAGTAAAAGCAGACCTACAATTATCTATCCAGCAAGGAATATCCCCATATTTCCATCATTTTTCCAAAATAATAATGGGATTTCTGAAACTAGGTTATAGGATTTTTCCTCCAAAATAGCCATGGGGTGTGTTATACTTGTCATAATCTGTCTGCAGCAAATTATCAAATCATTCAATGAAGTTTTTATCACCGCACTATTGTGTTTCAATAATATTTTAAACTAATGATTTTTTTTCCCTATATATAGGAGATAAAGTCCTCACACTTGCTCTTCCACAGTGTAGAGAATGCAGTGCCTGCTTGCATCCCAAGGGAAACTTCTGTGAGAAGCAAGAGTTAGTAGATTTGCCCATCTTTTGTTTATCTTGTCACTTTTTATTAAATCGCTTATGTTATGCAAACGCTGACCTGGAGCTAAAGGTGTTCATTTCTCTCTTTACAACTCTATGTTTCTGGGTTGCTGCTGTGTCTGTCTGTGTCACGGCTGAACAGCCTTCTGCCCTCTTCTGGATTAATGCTGGATGGCACAAGCAGGTTTACCTGCAAAGGAGAAAAGATCTACCACTCTTTCCGCACAAGTACATTCACCGAATATACTGTTGTGCCTGAGATTTCGGTGGTAAAAATTGATGCTGCTGCTCCCATGGATAAAATTTGTATCATAAGCTGTGCAGTGGCTACAGGATATGGGGCTGCTGTTCACTCGGCCCAGGTGAGGAAAATAGCTGTGTGTTAGTATGTTATAGTGATCTGCCAAGAAAACATAAAAACAATACCAAAACAGTCCAAATGTTTCAACTGGGCTCTATAGTTCCAAAAGCCTCAATGGTTGTTTTTGCTTGTTTTCTTAATTATACGAGTGTCCAGATGTGATTCCTAACACAAACATGACTTGTGAATTTGTAGGTCACTCCTGGTTCTACCTGTGTGGTCTTTGGACTTGGAGGAATCGGCTCAGCTGTTGTCATGGGCTGTAAAGCCTCTGGTGCTTCTAGAATCATTGGAGTTGATATCAATGAGGAAAAATTTCCTCGGGCAAAAGCATTAGGGGTCACAGATTTTCTCAACCCTTCGAATCTCAAGAAGCCCGTCCAGGAGGTGGTCAATGAGATGACAGGCACCGGTGTTGACTTTGCCTTTGAGGCCATCGGACTCACAGAAACCATGGTGTGTGGGTTTGGGTCACAGTGAGTAGAAGCAGATCTGTAGGTTTGGTTCCAGACCAGCACAATTAAGTGAACATTGTAATAAAATGAGTCAAGTAATTTTCTGGTTTTCCACCACACATAAAAATTACATTTATACTATACTGTAGTCTATTAGTATGCAATAGCATTTGGTCTAAGAAAAAACAAGGTACACACCTTAATTTTAAAACAATTTATTGCTAAAATATGCTAGTCATCTGAGCCTTCAGTGAAAGTCATTATCTTTTTGTAATAGTAACAAAGATCACTGATTACATATCATAATAAGAAATATAATAATAGTGAAAATGTTTGAAATACTGTGAGAATTACCAAATGTGACACAGACAAAAAGGAAGCAAATGCTGTTGGAAAAAATGTGCTGATAGACTTACTCAACACAGGGTTGCCACAAACCTTCAACCTGCAAAAAATGCAATATCTGCAAAATGGAAAACATAGTAAAATGAATTGTGTCTATAGATGCTTGCTTAGTGGGTGGGAACACACTATGTATAAAACTCCCCTGAACATGTTTTGGACCTGTGGACCCCAAACCTAAAAATGGAATGTATAGTCACTCTAAAATATCCATCTTAAAAATAAAAGCAATATATACTTTCAAGATATGATACTATAATATATGAAGTTTAAACAAGCACTATTTCCTTTCCTGTAGTCCTAGCTCTTTATCCACGAACATGTTTTTATATTTTAAGTATCAACATTATGTAATTCACATATGATATTCATGTGTGTTCTGTTTCAGAACCATTCATCATTTGAAAAATGAGCCTATGCACCAGTATGTTAAGTTCAGGGAGAATAAAGTAGACTCTACACTCTTGGAACTGACAGCATAGAGGAAATAATTAAGCATTCGATTCATTTCAGCATGTATCTAATGTACATGGTCAAAGGGTGAAGGAAGTAGATGCAGTGATGTAACAGGAAAGAGACATAGGCAAAATGCAGGAAGGGGAGAGATAGAAGGTTAAGAACCAGAAAAGAAGTAAAATAGATTGACCTGAAGTATACTCTACACCCTTAAAAAACTGGATTTTTTAAATTAAGCTTCACACACACATATGTATATATTTGTTTTGTTTAAATATAAATGAACTAAAGAGTGTCATACAAGTGAGAAGATCAGGCAAAGAATAATAGTGTGTGTGGTCTTTGAAGTGGCAGGTAATTTTATTAAATAAACACACAGTACTTACTCTGTGCCAGATAACATTGTAAATGTTTTAATCACTTAAGCCTTATAACAAATCTATGACATAGGTGGTATTATTCTTCTTTTTACAAATAGACATAGGGAAGTTAAGTAACTTGCCTAAAGTCGCACAGTGGCAGGGTCTTTGCCACTTTACTCTAAACTCTTTACCACTAAACTCTACTGGTTCTCTAATGAGATTCCATCACTGGCAGTGTTGAAGCTGAGCTCAAAGTAAATAGCATCTGCCCAGGAAAAGGTCTGAAATCTAGGAATCCACAATTCCTTCCAACACTGCAGATAGTTGCTACTTCCATATGGGCATCTACTTACGGTCATTATTCTCACTATCAGGTTGCTGCTTGGGACTCCTGCAACCTAAGCCATGGTGTCTGTACAATCATTGGGGTGTCTGCACCAGATTTAAAGCTTTCCCTTTCTGCTGTAGAAGTTTTCACTGGACGGACACTGAAGGGTACGTGTTTAGGAGGTAAGTCAGTTGCTTTTGCTTTCACGAAACCTCTTTCAACTTTGTTAGTTCAGCTCAGTTCAGTCACTCAGTCGTGTCCAACTCTTTGCGACCCCATGAATCGCAGCATGCCAAGCCTCCCTGTCCATCACCAACTCCCAGAGTTTACTCAGACTCATGCCCATTGAGTGGGTGATGCCATCCAGCCATCTCATCCTCTGTCATCCCCTTCTCCTCCTGCCCCCAATCCCTCCAAGCATCAGGGTCTTTTCCAATGAGTCAACTCTTCGCATGAGGTGGCCAAAGTATTGGAGTTTCAGCTTCAGCATCAGTCCTTCCAAAGAACACCCAGGACTGATCTCCTTTAGGATGGACTGGTTGGATCTCCTTGCAGTCCAAGGGACTCAGTCTTCTCCAACACCATAGCTCAAAAGCATCAATTTTTCAGTGCTCATCTTTCTTCACAGTCCAACTCTCACATCTATACATGACCACTGGAAAAACCATAGCCTTGACCAGATGGACCTTTGTTGGCAAAGTAATGTCTCTGCTTTTTAATATGCTATCTAGGTTGGTCATAACTTTCCTTCCTAGGAGTAAGCGTCTTTTAATTTCATGGCTGCAGTCACCATCTGCAGTGATTTTGGAGCCCCAAAAAATAAAGTCTGACAGTGTTTCCACTGTCTTCCCATCTATTTCCCATGAGGTGATGGGACCAGATGCCATGGTCTTAGTTTTCTGAATGTTGAGCTTTAAGCCAACTTTTTCACTCTCCTCTTTCACTTTCAACTTTGTAGAAACATGTAATTCAAAATATTTCTCCTTGGGGAAACAGACCTATAGTGGTATAAGTTTTCAAAGACTTCTCCTCCAATGAATTGGTATATTTTGCAGATCAATTTTAGCCAATTTAATTAAATAGGTTTTTTTTACATTTAAATAAAATTTTTTATCTCCTACAAAACAGTTTCTGGGTTTTCCCAGTGTTTGGAATAATTCAGCTAAGTTCAGTTCTGCACTGGTGGACTCAAAGTTTGTTGTGCTATTTTAACAGTGAGGCTTTCTGAATAATTACATGTACCAACTTGGTATTTGGCACTGGTATTTGCCTTCCCATAGGAGCCCTTATTTCTGAGCAGTACTGACCAATAGCTTTACTAAATTAATATTTTCATCTCCATCCATTACTCTGATCAAAAGTTCCCATGCTATCTCAATGTGTGTGAATAGAGAGATGAGGAAATAGTTGTATATTCCTCATTTTTTTCCAAAGGTGTTCTAGGTAACAGAACTGTCTGTAGCAGCCACACTTAGCAACAAAAGCCAACAACTTCTGATGTACAAATGAACTCATCAATGGTAAATTTTCAGAATAGTTTACCCATCTCCACAACTTACTTATTTTTCTTTTGGTTAGTTTGATATTTCTCAAATCTTATTACAATAGCCTTTTTATTTTGCAGATTATAAAACCAGAGATTGTTTTCCCCAACTAGTGACTGCTTACCTACAAAATAAAATTAATATAGATCCATTAATAACCCACCAGTTGCCTTTTGACCAACTCCACAAAGCTTTCGAGGTGTATCATGCTGGAAAAACGTGAGTGTTTTCTTTGATGAACTTCTGTACCCTGAACTCACAGAAAAAATGACTTCTCAAACATTCCTAAGTGGTTTTGTGAAAAAAAAGTTGACTACCTGAAGACCTTCAATATCTTTCATATACTCTACCCTATTTCCTGTTGTCACAAGGATAAGAAAAGGTTTTATCTGCAAGTTCCTCTTTGGGAAAGACCTGTATTAACCTATCTCAAAGAAATGTTTGAGGAGGCAATGTAACACTAAGCACCAGTCTACTCCACATCTGTCAATTATGCATTATTTTTCTAATTAGAGAAATAATCTAGAATAAATAAGTTGATGTTACTGGCATCATAAAATCTTACAAGGACCTTCAAGGCAAAGGTTCAGACTCTACCCAGGGCACAAATCCTTTCTACATAATTTCCTGACAAATGTCAGTCTGCTCCAGCTAGCATACTTTTAGGGATGAAGTGTTTACTCACTGTGTTCATGTATACACTCAATGCATATTGAGAGATGGTACACTCTTTGCCAGGACTGTCCTGAGTGCTGGGGACAGTGGGGAGCAAGTAACAAGGAGTAAATGAGAAATTACTTCTGTGATGAATTCTTTGACTTTCTAATTCTGGTTCTTAAGAACATCTCTCTTTCCTATTCTCTCCCCACTTCTCTACCTATATCGTTTGTTTGTTTTATGATTTATTTTTATTTTAAGATAGGAATTTAAATTTTAGCCTGCTATATACCTTGTTGGTTTAGACCTAGCATGTCAGCGCATTTAAATCAAGAATGAAGAGCCAAGAAAACTCATCTAAAATTTTAGAAACAAATAATAGAGGAGGGGAATGGATCTAGCAGGTAGTAGACACACTACAAACAGAAAGGAACTAAGGGAACCCATTTATTCTTCCCTAATTAGACATGGTATTAGATTTTAGGATTGATGGGAGCTGATCAGAAGCTGTAGCAAAGGGTTTGGATGTTTTTGTGATTAAGTAGCCAGAAGGAATGGTGCTCAAAGTTGGGGTCTTCCTGTTATAGCTGATTTGGGATCCTGCTTTCACCCCATCCTATATTTCTTACAGGTAAACTAGATGAAGGTAGAGTGGGGTGGGGATAGACAACTCAGTTTTTCAATACAGTGCATAATTGCTTTGCTGATATCACTGTTTCTCAAGGAATTCAGTTGCTTTATTATTACTTTTATGTTTCAGGATTCGCTGTGTTCTGCTATTCTGAGATCCCAAATAATGAAAGGTACAAGGATATCCTTGGGAGTTTATTCCTTTCCTGTTTCACCTCCCTGATTGTTCCAGTGCAGTGAAAAGAGCAGCAAAAATATGGAAATGCAGTCTGATTGTAAAAATGAAACAAGTGCACCTTGAATTTAATTATAATAAAATAACCTCTTAGAGAACAGATGTTATATAATTCATTTTATGACATTAAAAAAAGGTATGGTGGGATTTGATTTATAACATTAGTGATATGTCCGTCAACCCAACTGATCTCTGTCATTAGTCCACGAAAGTTGTCCCTGAGTTATCCCTTATTCCTATTCTCAATATACAGATTTCTCTGTATCTTTCACACCACTCCAGGGTTTACATGATTTTGCTGTTTCTACAACATATGCGGTCTCATAAATTCTTGGAAGGCTCTCTCGGGACACAGTGAGCCATTTTCTATCCTGGGGTAGATCCTATGCCTACAATGCCCATGACACGCTGAGGCACAGTTCCCATCTGCTTTCAAACATGCAAGCATATCTGGGAAATCTTGCCACCTGCACCCTGAGGAAGCATGTGTAGGACTCTTTAAGAGAAACTCACCTACGACCTCATAACTTCCTTTTCAAGTCTTTTTCTCTTCACTAAACAAATATAATTATTTCCTCAGTCATTTACATTCTCCTTAAACTTTTGCTGTTGAAACAAAGAAATCACAAGGAAAATTTATTTATAATCTTGTTTCATTTGTAATATCGCTTTCTGAGATTTGAGCTCAAAATGTCCAGCTGACTTAATGAGGGAAGGTCCAAGAATTTTAAAAAAACACATGAAGATTTTTCTTAAGTGAATACTTTAAATATAATCCTGCCAATCTCTCTCTGTCACCTTAACAAACCCTTCCCTCTCTGAGTATCAGCTGCCACATTGTCAAGTGGTAAAATAAAAGTAATGTTATAAGATGATTTTTAAGACTGGAGATCACATGTATAAATGAAGAAATAAAATGAAAACATGTATAAAATTTTAAAGAATAGAATAATTGGGATCTAAGGAAAGGGAAAAGATAAGGCAAAGAAATTAAGAAATTTTAAACCAAGAATTTAAGAATAAAAATTATAGAATTCAAACATTGTAAAGAACAGAAAGACAAGGCTAGGAGAAATTGAGTTTCAAAAGAATAAAATAACTATTTTGTTACATAGATAAAAGCTATCAATGTGACCTAAAATCATGAGGAAAAAAATTAGTAACAATGTATTCTTAACAAAATACAACTGGAAAAATAAAAGAGCTGATACAAGAATTGTATCAGGAGCTTGGGGTTGGAAATACCCAGCTATCAAGAACTGACCCCCAAGCTGGAAGACTTCTACACTTGAACAGAAGCTTAGAAACAAAAACAAAAACAAAAACCCCATGAAACACACAGCAGGGCCAGGAGAAAGATGCATTTAGATGGGAGGCTTTTTCCTGAACCTCACTGTCCCCAGACACTATTAGAGAGACACTTAAGTTGATTCTATTGCATCAAAATTGTTGCCTCCTCTTTTTTTGTTTCTTTTTGTTGGGAGCATGGTGCAACATGCAGGATCTTAGTTCCCTAACCAGGGATGGAACCCTTGTCCTCTGCATTGGGAGCATGGGGTCTTAACCACCTGACCACTAGGAAAGTCCTTGTTGCCTCTTATCAGTCTTTTCCTCTGTGATTGATCTTTGGACAATTCTATAAAAAAAGTCCTAGTTAGGCATATTTCTGTAGCTTTCATAATATCTCTTTTCTACCTCCTAGCTTTTAGGGTATTTCCTTCAATTTTGACACTGTCTTCAAAATTTCTCATTATTTATTTGTGAAAACATTATTTCACACAGTCACTTCTGCTTTTTTTGTGGCCAGCTGTCTCATGTTCTATTCCCCTAGGACAGTTGAGTAGGTTTTATATTTTGTTTGCTTTTGAAATAAAATGGACAAAGAATTATTAATTTCATGGCATATTTCTCAGATTTCAAGAAGTCAGAGTGCTAGGGGGTCATTATTTCTCTTGTGAGATCACAATAGCACTATCATACTTTATTAAGAGTATCTCCTGGTTTACTGTATAGGGCAAATCATATCTGTATTCCCTGTATCTGGTACAAAGTAAGTGCTCAATGAATTTTTTTGGAAGAATAAATCACAAAAAATCCATGAAAAGTTAAGAAGTTTTGCTCAGTGCTTTAGGCTAAAACAAAGATTATTTTCAGAAATAAGGCGGAGAAGCAAAAAGAAAGGAGAATAATTCTCTGAGAACCTCCAATTCAGAAAGCATCAGAATAATGAAGATGTAGGAAGAAGAGATGATAGAACAAAGCTAAAATGGATGAGAATTTGTGTCCACTGTTATGTTTAAAGGTAAAGATTAACCGCTGTCTTTCTGATGATTTCAGTTTTTATCCACTATATACAATGGATGCTAGAAGGTCAGAGAGTTATATAAACTTCCTAAATAAGCCACCAGAGTATAACTGAGTACTTACTAAATACCAGCCACTGTGCTAAGTACTTCACAATCATCATATAATCTTCATCTTGGCTCTCTGTGTTCGGGAATATTATCTCCATTTCACAGATGAAATAACTAAGATACAGAGAGACTGATTAATTTGCTCACTATGAAATAGTTATGTGACAAAACAAAGACTGAAGTCTAAGCAATATAAAGGCTGTGCTCTAAGTCATTTTGCTTTATTACCATTTAGCAAGGAGTTCATAAATAATAAGGCTACTTAATATTTATTATTGTGAAAGTAAAAGTGTTTGTCACTCAGTTGATTTCCAACTCTTTGTGACCCCATGGACTGTAGCCCATCAGGTCCTCTGTCCATGGGATTTTTCAGGCAAGAATGCTGGAGTGGGTTGCCATTTCCTCCTCCAGGAGATCTTCCTGACCCAAGGTTGGAACCCGGTGTCCTTCATTGCAAGCAGATTCTTTACCATTTGAGCCACCAGGGAAGCCCGATTATTTATTATTATTATTATTATTATTATTATTATTATTATATTTGTGGTATAAATAAATTGCTATGAGAAAAGCACAATGGATATGATCTTGTGACACAAAAGCTCCAAAAACTGAGTAGACAGTGAAAAGACAGACTGAATTCATTTCAGATTGTGAAGGAAATGGGACAGTAGAGAATAGAAGGAGCAGACAGTCAGGGATTCTTTTTCATGCTGTGAGTTTAACAAAAGGAAAGAACTGAGGCTTGATGTTTCAGCAGCTCTGCTTTTAAAATGCAACCTAAGTACATATGGATATGGACATAGATACAGATATGTATATGGATATGGGACTCCTGACTGTCCAGGCATTCTTCCCAAGTTCACAGGACAGAAAACCATAAGCGAGACCCAGCTAGCTAGCTTTCATTTCTTACTTCTCACAATTGATATAGAGATTGAATAGAGGTGGAAAGAAAACAGCATGTATGATTTTAATCAGATTTGCCTCCTCTCTCCTTGTCAATATATTCTATGACTATAGTAAACCTGTGAAGTACTGTTAATTCTTGGTGTTTTCAGCTGCACCGTAAACTGGCTGTCTAATATCTCTATGTGTGTGCTCAGCTGTGTCCAACTCTTTGCAACTCCATGGACTGTAGTCCACCAAGTTCCTCTGTCCATGGGATTTCCCAGGTAAGAATATTGGAGTGGGTTGCCATTTTCTTCTCCAGGGATCTTTCCAATACGGGGATCAAACCCATGTCTCCTGAGTTTCCTGCACTGGCATGCAGATTCTTTACCACCAGCGCCTCTTGGGAAGCCCCCAGCTACCTAATATCTCACAAAACTATTTTTCATTCCTCTAATCTGGGTTGTAAGAAAGATGAAAATATTTTACCTTTCACTTTACTTCTTATGTACTAATATGAATTTTTAGTATAGGCATGCATAACTGAAATATACAGAAGTGAT